CTCCTCATTATTCACCACCATCACTGTAATATTTCATCATCAACATTAACACACGAAGGTAATAAGAGGGACGGTGGAGATCGAGTCTGCAGCGTCTGTTAAACGCTTAAAAAAAAAAAAAACCTCAGTCAAAGCACCATTTTCAGTGCAGATAAATGTAGCATCATTAGTCTGGTTATAGAGAACTGTGTTGCCTGACACTGCATAAAACAGTAGAAACAGACAGTTAAAACAGAAGTTAAGAAGCTCTGGGGTTTATCTTAAAGTTAAGAAAATCTTTAGGATATTTTGGCAACTTAGGATGTTTCTGTAAAACCGTTTTCTTATCTGGAAATAAGAGATTATAGACTTAAGAACTGTTGTTCTGTAATAGCTTTTATCCTAACTTCAGTCTTAACTGAAGTTGCCATGACAACAAAGCAGATAAGATATGATCTCAGACTTAAGAATTTTCTGTAATATGGCCCCAGGCCTGGAACATGCCATCCTCCAGCGATAGGGCCGATGCTTAGAGGGTTGTAAGCCCACAGTATTTTTTTTCCGTTGCTTCACACTGCTAAGCAGCAATAGCATCATAACTGTCAGTCAGCTGTGCTGGCCAGATATCAACAATTCAAATTGTACAGGCAGTAACAGAAAAAAAACAGCACACAAATCCGGAGGCGTGAATAAGTGCAATAAGTATAACACGAATCCCCTTTAAAGTATTTCAGAGAGTCAGAAACCACATAAGCAGGTCTAGTAGAGATTACTTAACACTGTTTTGGGCAACTGTAATGATTTATGTATGCAATTAACACAAGGCTGGGCTATAAATGTCCATTACTTGTTGGCTACATTAGCCTCGTAGCTCTGGTTCAGAAGCGAACTTCAGACACCAAAGACATCTTGGGTGATTGACTACATTTGGGGGTAAGAGACAAAATGGTCCTTATTTATTCAAAGTTGTGTTAAAAAGTGCACATTTGGCCACCTTTAATGATGAATCAGCTTCAGTGCGTGAAATCAAGTGCCAGCATACCAGCACCTCATTTACAAATCATTTGCATGAAGCCAACCTAATTCATGCTGATGCTTCAGTAGGGAGCTAATAAACGACAGCATTTAGTGGCTCGTGAGCCAATGGGTGAGCTCATAGGTGGTGTTTCAGGTCAAGCAGTGAGTGCACTGCTCCCCCTACTGACCAAACTTTATATTGTTAAAATCATGATGACTGGAAAGAATAAAATATGAATGTTTTTTTTAAGATGGTAGAATGATGTGATTGTGTGATTGTCATCCTAAAATATCATCGCTGTCCAATAGAAAAACAAGTATCTCCAAAATATTAATTTTACAGGAGAGGGCAAAAACACTCTTACCTTTCAGTGTAAGTCAATGTAAAGAGATTTTGTTCCAAGTGATTTTAGAGCATTTCTATTGGTCCATGCATCATGACATTTTTACACAATGTAAAGGACAGCCAGTGTGTTGAAAAGATGTAGAAAAATAAAAAAACGACAAAAATGGAGATGCATGGTTTTCATTGGACAGCGACGATATTTAAACACTGCATTATTGCAGTGCGTGAGATGCTGCTGCACTAACTATGTTTTGTATTGTTTATCTTGTGGGCGGAGTCCACATGCAAAATAATAATATCCACTTTTATACCGGATTGCCATGTGCACAAATTCTTAATATTGTTGTTTTCTATTTTAATTCTCATTATTGTTGTTATAGATGATATTGATTGAGTTTCTAAAGTAAGACAAGAGTTGCAAAACTCTTATTGCGAATTTTTACGCAGTCCAACCAGATGTGAGTTTGATCGTACAGATATGTCAAAGACAAAAGTGACGAATAATAAACACTGTCAGTGAATTTGACATGCGCTCATATTAGGATCAAATGTGACCGTGCATGACGTTGATGAACGAGAGCCAATGTGTGTAAATATCGTCTTCTACCAAACTGTTCCTTTAAGCTAAGAACTGTACGCAAGGTCGCGCACTGAAGCTCTCCATTTCCATCCAAGTCTCGAGGATCAAAAGCTGCTGTTTGTTGAACATGAAGGTCTTACCACAGGATTAACATCTCTTAGATTTTCGCCGCACTCTAAGGTTCTCTAACGTAACCCACAGTGCTTCTGACGCAGTGTGTGTTATGATCCTGCTGTTGGTTGGGTTGGGTTGGGTTGGGTTGCGCCCATCAGCAGAACAGTTTCATAACACAAAACACAAGCAGGGGAGTCATTGGTATTGGCTTCCTAAGTCCCTGAAAATCCCCTCTGCCTCCACTCTCTGCTGCACACTAATGAGAAGCGGGGAACGGGCTCCAGGCCTCGTGACCCTGGGCTGAACCCAAGCGCCCGACTGCCTCCGCTAAGCCCGCAGTGGCCCAGCGCGGTTTTCCAACGACGTGATTTCTCCCTGCCAACGTAAACCTCAGAGCAGGCACTGCTTTCAAAGGGCTTTTTTTCTGGAAAGTAGCTGTGTCGGGTGGCTGCAAATTAGCCAGCAGTGACCCAGAAAAGAGGGGATCCAATGGGTTAAATTCCAGCCGAATGGGTGGAGATGCCTCGGAACCGCATGGCAACGCAAATATGAAGCATGGGAGGCTCAGAGCGCCGTTCTTTTTATAAGGTTTGAGCCGTTGTGGCTGAGCTCTGGACATAATTATGGCTGTTCTTTTGTGCTTTCTATTAAGAAAAAAGGTCAAATGGAAAACAAATTAGAGAGGCTAATTGCCTCGAGAACCGAAACCAAACAGAGACGGTCCACCAGCGCTTCCTCTCTTCTGCAGATTGTGGTTGCGAGTGCCAAAGCCAGCAGCAACTTTTTTTATTTATTTATTTTTTTTTGTGTGGGAATTTTGATGTCTAATTCGCATCTTTACTCAAACAACAGTCACTCAAACAAGGGCTGCTTTCATTGCATTGTGTCGGCATTAGGATTCATTCATTCCACTCCGAGGCTGGAGTCGCCCAAGAGCTTCCTCGTTCTTTTTCCTTTTTTTCCTCCTCTGTGCTCCAGGCTGCCAAGCGCACTTCTTTTCTTCGCTGCCACTTTTCACATCTCCTCATGTGCCAGGGCTTTTGTTTTAAAGTCGGAGAGGGGGAAAGAGGGAGGAAAGGGCAGTTTGCGAGAGAGAGCGAGGGAGAGAGCTGTACTTTGTTCAGCTCTCCTCTGGGTACTTGATCTCTTTACTGTCCTAACAGGCCCAGAAAGGCTGCCCACTGCTTCTGCTTCTCTTGGGAACTGGACCCAGTGTTTGACTTTGAGTTGACTTTGACCTAAAAGTGTCCACTCTGCAGCCACATCGCATCTCCTGTTTGTGGTTTCTTCTCTCTGTTCTGCCCGGAACAGGCCGATGCTTTTAGTTTTCTCCAGGCGGATCGGGACTTTTTATTTTTTTTTCCTGCTGCTGACCTAGAGTGGTAAAACACATGAGCATCTTGGACGGAACCGATAACGGAAGTCTGTGAAAGTACATCTGGACCGTGCCAATTTATTAACCCTTTAGGTTTATTACAGGGAATTATTTAGCAACTGATGTGATACTATACACAAGCCTTAAAGGGGAATTCCACTGAATTTTGGAAATTTCTGCATTATTCAATTTTTTAGATGTTTTGGTGTGAAATGGTTGATTGTAGAGACTGTAGATTATAAGAACCTGGGGTCTCAATGTCTACAACACAAATATAGCCATTTAACTGCTATTCAAAGGGGGATTCCACCAAATGTTCAAAATTCCTGCATAATTCGGTGGTTGAGACGTAGACAAAGTCATTCGGAGTGGTTTGGTGTGAAATGGTTGATTTGTAGACTGATGTCTTTACAGTGGTGGTGATGGGAACCAGGGGTCGCCATGACTACAACACAAATATAGACATTTTTATTCACTATCCAGAACCACCAGTGAACCTAAATGAGTCTTCTGGGTGTTGATGATGGTAAATTAGTGGTAAATCTGAATAAATAAGTTTTTCTCCTCCACCATGAATTCGTTTTAAAACAGCTTTAGGCCAAAATCTTCTCTAAACTATTGAAAACAGTGTCTGAGGCATCAGGCGACATATTAGAACCGTCCAAGGCATGTTTTTAATGTAAACGTTGTAAAAGTCTCCCCCTGCCTCTTTCCCTCTCCCCTGGCTTTATTTCTTTTTCTTGCATTTTCTCCCCCTCTCTTCTTTTTTCTTTCTCTCTCTCTTTCTCTTCTCAATCTTCTCCCTCTTCCTCTCCCCCGTGAATCTCTATCTCCTCCATCTCAATCTCTCTGCTCCTCTCTTTTTTGTCTTTCTACCTCTGAATCTCTCTCTTATCTTCCCTCCCTCCTTCCCTCCCCTATCCCTCCTTCCCTCCCCATCCCTCCACCTCCACTCCCTCCCTCCTTCCCTCCCTCCCATCCCTCCCCCATCCCTCCTTCCCTCCCCATCCCTCCTTCCCTCCCTCTCCACTCCCTCCCTCCTTCCTTCCCTCTCCACTCCCTCTCTCCCTCTCCACTCCCTCTCTCCCTCTCCATTCCCTTCCTTCCCTCCCTCCCTCTCCACTCCCTCCCTCCATCTCTACTCCCTCCCTCTTCTCTCCGCTCCCTCCCATCCCCCCTCCCTCTCCATTCCTCCCTCCCTCTCCATTTCCTCCCTCCCTCTCCATTTCCTCCCCATCCCCCCCTCCCTCTCCACTTCCTCTCCACTCCCTCCCTCCCTCTCCCGCTCTCCCATCCCTCCATCCCTCCATCCTTCCCTCCATCCTTTCCTCTCTCTCCCTCCCTCTCTCTCTAGCTCTCTTTCTTTCTGTGTGTTGGGGTTGGGCTCTCTCTCTCTCTCTCTCTCTCTCTCTCTCTCTCTCTCAGTGAGGGCAGTAAGAAGTTTTTCAGTGTTCTCTCTCTCTCTCTCTCTCTCTCTCTCTCTCTCTCTCAGTGAGGGCAGTAGGAAGTTTGTGTTCAGTTCTCTCTCTCTCTCTCTCTCTCTCTCTCTCTCTCTCTCTCTCTCTCTCTCTCTGTGTTTGGGTTGGACACTCTCAGTGAGGGCAGTAGGAAGTTTGTGTTCAGTTTACTCTCTCTGTCTCTGAGTGTTTATCGGCGTGTACAGCAGTGAGCTCTGCAGATCGCTGGTGAAGGATGTGTAAGCATGTCTCAGGTGAGTCTGCTCTTACTCTGCTCCACCTGCTGTGACCTGTTTAACACCACACCGCTGTTGAGCTGCTGAAGCTGGTTTAGATCTGTTCCTGTATGATGTTTGCTGGCATATGGGAGAACTTGGAGTTAAAGGGGCGTTACACCTACTCTTCAAATTTCCTGCATAATCAAATGGCTCAGATGTAAACAGAGTCATTCAGAGTGGTTTTGGTGTGAAATCCTCTGTTCTGGAGAAACTGACTGAGTCAGAACTGTTCACAGTGGTGGTGATAGGAACCAGATGTCCACCTCTAAAAGCTCCCTCACAGAAAGTTACTACATGAAATGGTTATGAATTCTCTGCCTGAAGCCTGCGATATTGTTTTATGATATTTTTGAGATACAGATTTTAGTCTCAGACGTATTTTTGGTGGAGTGGTTCATGCAGGGCCAGAGAAAGTTCATTTTTCAAAGAAAACTGATTTCAGATTTTCCACTGTTCCCATCATCAGCATCACATATAAACACTCAGAAGACTCGTGTAGGTTCACTGGTGGTTTTCGATAGTAAACAAAATGTTTATATTTGTGTTGTAGTCATGGCGACCCCTGGTTCCTATCACCACCACTGTAAAGAAATCTGAACCATTTCACACCAAACCACTCTGAATGACTGTGTTTACACCTCAATGACAGAATTATGCAGAATGTAAGAATAATCAGTGGAATTCTCCTTTAAGGGGAAAATCTCAGGTTAGCAGGAATGTTGAGTTTGCAGATGTTGTTTTGGTTCCTGTATCAGAGCGTATTCCTAATATGGACTTAGTTGAGTGGCTTTAAATGCCTGAAATGCCTCTGCTGTAGGTAGAAACTGCAGCTTGTATCTCCAGCAGGAGTGCGTGTGTCTTGTAAACACTTTGTGTTCTACATAGTAAGTGCCCAGGTGTATTTGCATGTCTGGCCGTTGGGAGCTCCCAGCTTTTCAACATGCCTTTATTACAGATGGGCATGTTTCCTTTGTCAGTTTACAAAAACTTAACACAGGGGTTCCTAAAGTGTGTCCTGGTGAACCCATGTTTGTGTTTTTTCTACTCTACACACCTGATCCAGCACAAGAGGAGCTTGTTTAATTAGCTCATGAGTTGAATCAGGTGTGTGAGATGAGGGACAGCACAAAAACGAGTTACCATATTGAAGCCTGTGCAGGTTTATTTAGAGGAAAACAGTATCAGTATCATGTTTATTTGGGGTTTTCCACAGGTGTGAAACAATCCTAGGGGGCATCTCATGGGAGGGAGGGTGAAGCACTGCATGGACCTGCTTAAAGTGAAGGTTTAGGTTTTGGAAATGACCATAAAGATTGGAGCTAGAATGACCCAGACTGAGAGGTAGAGCTGAGGAACAGGGAGGAGATGGGATGGTGGTGGGGACTGCGAAATTTTTGTCAGAGGAAAGTGAAGGTAGAGTTGGCAATTTATAGGGCGTTAGATTGGAAGGGGGAGGGGTTTCAGGCATGCCCCTACCCCAGAATATCAGCTATTCCAGAACTTTATAAAATATTGTCTCTTTTGAAATTGGAGACTGCATAGATACAATAGGACAAAATATACATTGGTGGCCATCATTATTCATTGCGGGGGGAGTCCAAGTAGACTATTGATTTAACATTTTATAGTGTCATAAAATGTTAAATCATGAATAAATGAAGGCTTATTTTTCTGATGTACGCTGCTCCTCCCTCTGGGTTTTGAATGTGCTGCTAAATGCTGGTTTTATACTGGAAGCGGTTGAGCTGGTAAAGCAGAACGTTTTAGCCATAGTTTCATTTTCTATGACTCGCGAGTGAAAAATGTGGCAGGAGTTCATTTTGTATGTGTAATTTGTTTTACATGTTCATGTTTTGACAAAAGCAGACATCCTGAAAGCAGTCAAAACATCGCTGCAGGTTGTGGATAAGATGATGGATGGATGGATATCATCTACTGCAGCAGCACAAAGTTCAGTAAAGAGCGAAACAAGAGCTGAAGTATTGCCGTACGTTATTATACAGATGCATAAATTGAAGTAAAGATACATAATAAAATATTCTAAAATAACCATAAAGATATAATGTGCAACACAAAAATAAGAGAGTAAAATTGCATAAATATGCAGGTGACAATGCTGTGGTGCATGTTACATCCAGTGAATGAACTGAGTGACTATGCACTGTAAACAATAACATATATTAACAGCTGTGAAATATGGATGGGTGTATAAACAAATGGCAGCCAATACCTAGTCTATTCAAATATGCCTGCAATGGCCCATTACCAGTTTTATGGTAATTAAACCTGGTATTTTTGCTTAGTTGAAAATAACAGCGAGAATCAAACATTAGAACACTCCAAAAGAAGGCATGGGGTCCCCAAACGTCTGATGGACCATGTATGTTTGAAGGTGCTCAGTTAGTGTGTTGTTACCTGTCATTAGCTTTTTAATCGTTTTTTTTTGTTCTCTGGACTGTTACGATGTATATGAGTGTCTGTGTCCTGCGAGTGAGTGCGTGCTGCATTGGAGCGCTCTGGTCAGTAAATCAGTCCAAAGCAGCCACATTCCTCCGACACTAGAGAGGGTCAAGAGGCAGGGCCGGCGTCCAGCGCTCAACACTGTGTTGACATAAGAGACTCATCCAGCCTTTTCACATCTGACTCTCAAAAGAACTGGAAGGGAGGAAGAATGTAAATATGTGAGATATGTGCATGTTTCCCAGGCTGCGTTTCTGTCGTATCCCAGGCTGCCTCAGTCTGTGTGTCCGTTTGAACAGGCGTGCAGTGTGTGTGCTGTTGGTCTCGAATGTCTCCCCATTAAATTAATGACCTTCTGTATTTGCTTCATACAGTGGTGTGAAAGAGGAAGTACAGCAATGAAAAGATTCTTGTTCTGCTTACAGTATTAACTGTGGATTAACTCTTTAAGATCTAAGCTTTAAACTGGCCACATGACGTATCTTTACATTTTAAACAGTAACTGGGTGACGTGTTACACTATTATCAAGTGATTTACGTCCTCTGATTCAGCTCAAACTCAGCTTTGCAGCTAAACCAGTCAGTGAAGTCAAATATTCAACATAAAAAATGTAAACAGTGGGCAGAGTCGACACCCTGGATGGGATCTGCACGTGTGCATCTACACTGTAAACTTAAATTAGTTGACTTTACATCATGCAAACTTGTTGCCGCAAAAAATTAAGTTACTTAGCACGTTCAAGCCTAAATAGGTTTATATATGAGTTATATTTACAACCCCATTTCCAAAAAAGGGACATGTTCAAAATGTAAATAAAAAACGAATGCAATGATATGCAAATCATGTAAAACATATATTTAATTGAAAATAGTACATAAACAACATATCAAATGTTGAAACTGAGAAATTTTTATTATTTTTTGAAAAATATATGACCATTTTGACTATGATGCCAACAACATGTTCCAAAAAAGTTGGGACGGGGGCCTGTTTACCACTGTGTTTCATCACCTCTTCTTTTAACAACATTCTGTTAAAATGTTTCCCGTTCTTGCTTGATACAGGATTTCGGCTGCTCAACAGTTTGCTTTATTGTATTTTTCATTCATAATGCACCAAATTTCTTCAGTGGTGACAGGTCTGGACTGCAGGCAGGTCAGTTTAGCACCAAGACTCTTTTAATATGGAGCCATTGTGTTGTAATAAATGCAGAATGTGGTTTGTCATTGTCTTGCTGAAATAATCAAGGCCTTCCCTGAAAAAGACGTCGTCTGGATGGCAGCATATGTTAGCAAAAAACCTGTATATATTGTTCAGCATTAATGGTGCCTTCACAGATGAGCACATCACCCATGCCATGTGCGCTAATGCGCCCCTATACCATCATGAATACTGGCTTTTGAACTGTGTGCTAATAACAAGCTGGGAGGTCTTTAGCCTGGAGGACACAGTGTCCATGATTTCCAAAAAGAATTTGAAATGTTGATTCGTCGGACCACAGAACACTTTTCCACTTCCCCTCAATCCATTTTAAATGAGCTCAGGCCCAGAGAAGGTGGCAGCGTTTCTGGATCCTGTTTATATCAGGTTTCTTCTTTTCACTTCAGAGTTTTAACTTGCATTTATGGATGCAGCGACAAACTGTTTTCACAGACAGTGGTTTTCAGAAGTGTTTTTGAGCCCATGCAGTGATTTCCTCTGCAGAATTATGTCTGTTTTTAATGCAGTGCTGCCTGAGGGCTCAAAGATCCCTCAGCCAATATTGTTTTTTTGGCTTTGTCCCTTGCATACAGAGATTTCTCCAGATTCTCTGAATTGTTTAATGCTATTATGTACTGTAGATGATGAAAAGCAAAAGTTCTTTGCAATGTTATGTTGAGAAACGTTATTCTTGAATTGTTGCACTATTTGATTGTGCAGTCTTTCACAGAGTGATGAATCCCTCCTCATCTTTACTCCTGAAAGACTCAGACTCTCCGGGTTGCTTTTTACTTTTTGAGTTCTGCTTACTCTCCAGTTAACTTGAATGGTAAAACTTTATTTGAAGGCTACCTGCATAAGGACTTTATAGCGCATGAATAAGTATTGAATTATGTACTTATAAAGCAGTAGTTGAGTATTTATGAACAGCTTATGCCATTAATCGCAAGATGAAAATATATGAGACTCAAGATCTGACTTAGAATTGCACCCCTGAGACTCAAGATTTGACTCGGATTTGTACCTCAGAGACTTGAGATTTTACTTGGACTCTCACCCCAGAAACTTGAGAAACTCAGTCACACCTCAGAGACTTGAGACTCAAATTGGACTCTCACCTCAGAGAGATGAGACTCGAATTGGACTCACCTCAAAGACTCGACTTGGACTCACACCCCAGAAATTTGAGACTTGACTTGGACTCGACTTAAAGCGACTCGTGAACATCTCTGAGCTCCATGTTTGAAGTATTCCTAAAGTTAAATGGAACTCTCTGTATGTACTTAGCTCTCATTAGCAGTTTTCCCCTTCTGCA